TGCGTCTTATAATCCGGTGCGCCTTATAGTCCGAAAAATACGGTACTTATTTCTTGTCTTCGTAATTATTATTAGTATACAGGATTGATATAGCGTCAACAGTTTACGCAGCGCTATACAATATAAGGGGGAAAGTACAATTACAATACAGTTCGATACAGAAGGAATTGCAGGGCCCTGCTCATGGAGCTTACAATCTAAAGGATGTACAAGGACAAGAGAAACATCCACAAAATTATCACATTTTGGGAAGCAGAGACTCCAAGGTATTTTCTGAAAAGTCTTTTAAAAATGTAGAAGAAAGAAAGATAGAATGGATAGAATGTAGAAAGAAAATGAAAATGCTGTTTTTTTAGTTTTTTAAAGTTGTCATTTAGACATGATATTTCTCACATACAGCATAGGCATACTTAGAATTACACCCCAAAACATATTCTGCTACTCCTTCTAAGTATACTGACACCATATACATGAGATTCTTTCATAGCCAAGCCACATAGAATGGCCCAAAATCCAAGGAGCACCTTTCTGTGTTCTATGGGTATGAATTATATATCTAATTTCCTGACTACCTACTGTATCATATGTTTGAATGAGCTGGAACACCAGACAGTGGAAAAACCCACAAAATTGCCACATTTTGGAAAGCAAACACCCCAAGGTATTTTCTAAGAGGCATGGTGAGTTGTCAATTAGTAAGATATTTCTCACTCACTGCATATGCATACTTAGAATTACAGCCCAAAACACGTTTGGCTACTCTGAGGGTGGTGATACCACATGCGTTAGACTTTTTCACAGCCTAACCACATAGAGAGACCCAAAATCCAAGGAACACCTTCAAGTGCTCCAGGGGCATTAATTGCACATCTAATTTCTTGACTGAACAGGAGGCTGAAGAAAGGAAGAACAAAAGAGTTCATGTGGTTCACATGCCACTGTGAAGAGGAGTGCAGTTGTCTGCAGAGGATGGCTCAGACTTGTGTCTCACAGGAATATAGTCATCCAGATGTGCAGATGGGTCAGTTCAGGAGGCAGGCAGGCACAAACATGGTGAGCAAACAGGCAAAGTATCAGTACAGGCAGGAGGCAGAAATGTAGTCACTAAAAAGTCCAGGACAGAACAGGTGGCAGGTAGAGGCAGCACTGGTGTGGGCAAACACTGCACTGGTGTGGTGGTGGTGATCAGCAACACTGCACTGGTGTGGTGGTGATCAGCAACACTGTTGCTGACTGCATGTGTCTGGTAACAGTGGGACTTGTATAGCTGAGATCAGGAACACTGCTGCTGGCTTAAACTGGTCTGGTGACACTGGGGACTAGTGTGGCAGAAATCAGGAACATTGCTGCTGACGTACACTTGTTTGGTGACAATGGGACTTGTGTGGCAACAATCAGAGACACTGTTACTTGCTTACACTATTGTGTTGACATTGCGACTGGTATGGCAGTGATAAGGAAAACTGTTGCTGGCATACACTGATCTGGTGTGATGGATATCAGGTACACTCATTCTAGCTACACTGGTCTGGCAACACTAAAACATAAGTTGATATATAAGAAAATCATTTCTATCTGTGTTTGCCATCATTCATGATGCAATCGTTTGCTGTGATAGCTATGTTTGTCCTCAGCTATCACATGGCACAGGGCTACTGTTATTGACCCTGTACCATGTGCTCACTCTAACAAATCACAGTACTGTAACAGAGATCACACCAGTAAACAATGACATCATGAATATAATACAAAAAGTGCAGCACTAAAAACTGAATAAACAAATATATTGAAACTCCACCCAAGAAAGTCTGTGCTCAAATACATGTCCACAAGGCTCCACCAAAAAAAAAATCCTTGCTCAAATGAATAGCCACAATAATGAATGTGTTTCCAACCATCAAAGGAACAAAGAAAAGACTCACTTTTCCAATAAGGCCAAAGAGAGGGAGTGACGCTCCAAAATTCTAGTGGCAACCACAAGTGAGTAAGAACCCTGTTGAGCTTTCAACCTAATGAAAAGCCAAGTGCACGTTAGGGATCAACCCCACACAAGTCCCCGGCAGATGACGAAACTCCAATCCTGCGGTTCCACCTTGAGGTCCACACTTTGTTATTGTAGTTTTCTCTTTGTTTTCCTTATCTTTACCAAAGTAGCTTTTCACGTGTATGCTGTTCAAGGTAGAGTATTTTTCAACACTCCCTTACCTTTTGTTATTCTGAAGAAATAGCTGTTTGTCTGTGTCCATGTACAGAGTGAATCAATGCTCATTCTTAATCACCACTGAAAAAACAGTCATACATGTGTAAACAATCTTGGTGTTCAAAAGTGGCAGCTTGAACAAGAATTTCAAGACTTAATTCCAAAAGATTTTTTTTTCATAGATGACTGACAAATCATTTCTGAAAACATTGATGATGAGATAAAAGTGAACAAATCATTAGATACATTATATCATGTCTATCTTGTTAAGTGTATGCATAAACTGTGGATAACTGAAACACCTACAGGTATTTGTTACATCTCAAAGAGATCACATTTCTCCCCTTGTCAATTCTTCTTTACCCTTTATGCCCAGAAGGCTAGCATTATCTTTGTTCAAGCATTTTTCAGTACCAGCATCTAACTTTTGGATTAAGATGCTGTTCTAAAGATGATACAGTCAAATATATCACTGTGCTTGCACAGTGGCCTTTATTTTGTCATCTGAGTGTTTCATAGAGATATACATGTCATGCATACAGATGAGCTCCTACTGCCTTGCCAGAAATATGAAAAGTATAACTTGAGAAAGTGATCACTGGGGGAATGAAGACAGGGTTAATGATTCTTCATGCCTGCAGGCATGGAAACTGAGTGCCAAAAAGAAAAAAAATATCCAGTGTGCTTACTTTCAACACAGGCAACGTTCAGTGCCACTAGCTACTCGGAACTGGCAGAGACCAATGAGAACCTGGTACAACCAATTACAGTCTGGAAAAGTCTTATCAAAAGTGGTCTTCAAGGAAGATTAGTAACTAAAAACCCATTCCTCCAAGTTAGAAATTTAGTTGAATCTCTCTATTCACAAAAACTTAGGTCTGGCAGCAAGTGATCTATACTGAATATTTTAACAGCAGACAGTATGCTTGCTGAAAGGACTGAAAATAGTACATGGATGGATATCTGCAAGCAACAGTGAATCACACAGCAGTTTTCCTATAGGTTTGGGACTGCATTTCCTATGCAAAATATATTGCTTGTCACTGTTCAAAAGTACAGTAAAATTCATATCCATCATGTAATACCACAGGAGTAATCTGATCAATCCCAGCTTCAGTTTACAACATGGCGATGACTACCAAGCACATGACTAAATTAATGAGAAAAAGAATATATATAGAGAGAAAAGAGGAACAGGGTGTCATGCAGCAGAAGATATGGTCCTCACAGAGCCCTGATCTCAGCATCATTAAGCTGGGAGTACTTCCAAGTCTACAAGCCAGTAAGGCAGCAAAAGTGTTCACTGAAACTGTGACAACTATCGCTTGGAAAAACCTACCTTCTGCCTACCTTCAGAGATTACATGCAAGTTTGTTTTAAGACAAAAAACTATTTCTTTTTTTCATTTTATTGAAAATTATAGGATGTTTATTAATACAACCTATTACTGACGCAATTTTTGAACCATTCCTGATCACTCAAGATTTTTGCACAGCAATGTATATATACAGTACATTTTTTCACTATCCACTTTTTTCCAGTAGTTTAACAAAAGACTGCGGTTGCCACTTTCAGGAGACACGTGACACTACGTGATCTACAAATTCGTATTTGTTTCCCTCTCCTAGGACCACTGAAAGATTAGTCATCATTGTCTTAAATGCTAAAACATCTTCAAGGCCACAATTTGTTATGTTGAGTGATCATTTGTCTGTGTGTATTGTAGATGATTTTATTAATAATAAAGATATTTCCTGGGTTTTCTGTTAATATTCTTATTCAAACCTTGAGGTATTTAGAAATACTTCTGCCTTTCAGTATCCCTCCCCCACTACATTTTTTTTTCATTCTAATACTTTTAAACTTCCATTAAAGCAAACAAAAAAAAGTTTGTTCACACAAACAGCCATACCATGGATGCTACAGTGTGCTATAAAGGGAGCAGTGCAGAGGCATTGTAATAATACATTACACTGTTTACATTTTTTTCTTTAACTTTTTTAAAAGGTCACAAAAATACATTTAATTCGTCTTTATTCTTAGTAGTAGGTTGCAATGCAGTATACTGTGTGGCAACATGCTGTGCTCCAAAAATATAGCATGTCCTACCTTTTCAGCACACCTCACCGCAGTACAGTGGTGTTAACTGAACTCAGAGGACTCAAGACAAATTGCCTTGTCTCTGCATTAGGACTGCATAGCATAAGGCTTCATACTAAAAAAAAATATTGGCATGCAAATAAAACTGTCAAAATTAAAACCTGCACTATCAGTTTTTTTCTGCCCCTAGCTCTTAGTATTTGCATGTTTCAAACTATCTTTGGTTTTTACACATTATATTTGTGCATGCTGTTGTGTACAAGGTGGTATTCCTTGTAACCATCAAGTGTCTGAGCTGACGGCCTAATCTTAGAAGGGATTGATTTTTCAGTTTTTGCATAGAAACAAGGTGGTGTTTAGGCCTAGGTACTTCCATGTTGAATTGTCATCTCTGCATGTGTTTGCTTCAGGTGGGCAGAAATGGCTTTAAATGGCAGCTGAGCCTTCACTGGAGCCAGACACCTGATTAAATTCATGTAGTGGAAGCTATGGCAAACGGGGACAAAAAGGGTATGCTTTGACACACATCACTGTTGTTAAAAGTGTGCAGTGAAGTGCCACACAATAAGTTTTGCCAGTTTTGACAAAAATGTGTCAAACTAAACCTACCGTATTTTTCGCTCCATAAGACGCACCTGACCATAAGACACACCTAGGTTTTAGAGGCAGAAAACAGGAAAAAAAAATTCTGAACTAATGGACTGCAGACATAGTACAGGAGATGACCAGAGACTGTGGACAGCACAGGGATGACCAAAGACTGCGAACACAGTACAGGAGATGACCAGAGACTGCGGACATAGTACAGGAGATGACCAGAGACTGCGGACACAGTACAGGAGATGACCAGAGACTGTGGACAGCACAGGGATGACCAGAGACTGCGGACAGCACAGGGATGACCAGAGACTGCGGACAGTACAGGAGATGACCATAGACTGCGGACAGTATAGGGATGACCAGAGACTGCGGACAGTACAGGAGATGACTGCTGACCTTTGGGGAGGGGGGGGGAGCGGGTACCTGAATTTGACAGGTACCCGATCTTACTTCCGCTGAGTTGTTCTTTGATCTTACCTGTTCCTCTATCCAGCCGCACGCTGTCTTCCCGGCTTCTGTAGTGTCGGCGCTCGGCACGACAGCCGGGTGCCCAGTGCACATGAGCGAGAAGCACTTGCGCTTTGTGATTGGTCCGGCGGCTTCTGGGATCTGTCATGTGTCCCAGGTACCGCCTTACCATTCACAAAAAGCACCGCTTCTTGCGCATGCGCACGTGGCACCCGGCTGTCAAGCCCAGCGCCCACACTACAGAAGCCGGGAAGACAGCGCGCCGCTGGATAGAGGAACAGGTAAGGTCAAAGAACAACTCCGCAGAAGTAAGAGCGGGTACCTGTCAAATTCAGGTACCCGCTCCCCACCTCCCCAAAGGTCAGCAGTCATCTCCATAAGGTCCGGCTGCAGAGCTGAGCGGTCGGCCTGGTATTCTGGCATGGCGGCGGTGGAAATACCGGACCGGCCGCCACATATTCGCTCCATAAGACTACAATAACAAACTGAAGCCAAACTTCAGCTCACACTTTATACAAACATTTTTTTTCCTTTTGGGATAAAGGTTTTACATGAATAAATAAAATCTGATCATTTTATTCACCCCTGCCAGTGTTAAGTGGTTTGTCTCATCCATGTATGTAAACTGATACATGTGCATGTATGTAATTGTAAACTAATACATTCTGCTGAAGAGCTTGAGCTTCTGAAAAAACAGCAGAGTTGCTGGCTGACCAGATGAAAGAAATACTAAAAAAAGGAAATTTGGTGTTGTGCTACTTTCATTTACAATTACGCAGGCATGCAACACTGTACACAAATGAAATTTACTGTATTTTTCGCTCCATAAAACGCACCTGACCATAAGACGCACCTAGGTTTTAGAGGCGAAAAACAAGAAAAAAAAATATTCTAAACCAATGGACTGCAGACATAGTACAGGGAATGACCAGAGACTGCGGACACAGTACAGGAAATGACCAGAGACTGCAGACACAGTACAGGAGATGACCAGAGACTGCAGACACAGCACAGGAGATGACCAGAGACTGCGGACTTACTACAGGAGATGACCAGAGACTGCGGACATACTACAGGAGATGACCAGAGACTGCGGACATAGTACAGGAGATGACCAGAGACTGCGGACACAGTACAGGAGATGACCAGAGACTGCAGACAGTGCAGGGGATGACCAGGGACTGCTGACCTTTGGGGAGGGAGGGGGAGCGGGTACCTGAATTTGACAGGTACCCACTCCCACTTCCGCGGAGTTGTCTTTCCCTCTTCTTCCCGTGCTGGCTTCTGTGACAGCCGGGTGCCCACTGCGCATGCGCGAGAAGCGCTGCGCTTTGTGAATGGCCCGGCACCTTCTGGGACCTGTCATGTGTCCCAGAAAACACTGGACCATTCACAAAGCGCAGCGCATGTGCAGTGGGCACCCGGCTGTCACAGAAGCCAGCACGGGAAGACTGTGCAGCGCTGGAGCGAGGAACAGGGAAGGCCTTGCAGGAGAGAACAGCTGAGCGGCCGGCCCGGTATTCTGACATGGTGGCGGCAGAAATACCGGACTGGCCACTTTATATTCGCTCCATAAGAAGCACTGACATTTTCCCCCCTTTTTTGGGGGGAAAAAAGTGCGTCTTATGGAGCGAAAAATACGGTAAATCTTATTTTTTCACACAAATTGAGCTTTCTTTTGATAGTATTTGTCCTGACACCAGGGGCGGACTGACAACTCGTGGGGCCCCCGGGCAAAAGGGGATCATGGGGCCCCTGTGTCCTTGCCCAAACTCAAAAAAGCCTATGAAAAAGGTACCAGGGGCATCTCATGGGGCCCCCTACTGACCCCGGGCCCTTGGGCAGTGCCCGAGTTTCCAAATGGTCAGTCCGCCCCTGCCTGACACTGAACAATTTCTAACAAACACACAACTGAAGTCTATATTTAGAATATTTGGGGAATAATTCACAGTTTGAAGATGGGAGGGGTTCTGAGAAATGTGGGTTGTGTTTTTCAAGCATACGTTATTAAACTTTAAGACAATACAATGTATTCCTGGGAAAACTGAAGCTTGCAAACTATACTATGAAACTATTTTGCCACTGCCCAATTAATATGAAGTTGAGGGTTTTAGCTTTATTTGTTTAGAAGTAAACTTTCCTTTAGCTCTTGTGGCTAATACTTCCACAGTTTAATTCAGCCCCTTTTACTGCTGATTAAAACAATCAGGTTTTGCACTCAAAACTACCTAGAAAAATACTGTTTTTCCAAGTTAGAAATGAATCAGATTGAGGTGCTGCTGAGAGAACATCTTCTTATGCAAATTATGTGATGCCAGAATATGGTGTTTCATAATCTGTCCATGATAATTTTAGTATTCTGTAACAACACACAGCTAAAGGCAACTTCTAAACTTGTAAACTAAAAGGATTGGTGTATTTGCTATGTTTCCCTCAAAGCCACATTAAAAAGAGGACCCTCTGTACACTGTAAATCATTTTTAAAATTTTGACCCTCCTGCGCTCAAAATGTGTTTTAAAATTATTAAATCAAATGAATAAGTGTATAAATCCCAAAGGAGCTGCTAGCATTAAATCATATACCAGTGATCAAGTGAATATAAAACATAAGGAATGCTGCGCTACATTCAAATCAAACGAATTGTGAATGTGGGATCCCAAGATATCAAATCAAAAAGTGTGACAATATTAACAATATTGACAATGCAAATCTATACGTGCTTGCTGATAATAACAAAAAATCAAATAAATCACTCAAAGGATGTAGAAACACAAAAAACTATATCTATATGTATGTGCATGAACAAAAAATATACACATACATATAATTAAATCACACGTGCCTATTGTGAAGTGAAAAAATAACCATAAATAATGGTACACTTAAACTAATATCTCAAAGTCCAAAAAATATCAAAATATTGTAGGTGAACAAAACAGTAAACGGTGCTTCCAAATTATACTGTTAGTGACCACAAGTGAAAAAAATCGTGCAGGTTTCTGGGTGTATATAGATCTACGAATCCAACCACCTTCTGGATTAGCCTCTCACCTCATCCCTTCGACCCTTGCGGATCAAAGAGCAGTAGTGGATCCCTCTCACAGATCCTCCAGGCACCAAAGCACTCCAAGACAGCTTTCAAGATGTAATATTCCCACTATGGCTCTTCTCCAGGAAAAAAGTTGTAATATCAATCTCTCAGAATGAGACAAAGGAATCCTCCCATAGTGTAGTATATTTATTATACCATAGGAACATGTAGCATATTTTAAATAAGAACTTACGTAGCAGCAGTCCACACTAAAGCCTCATGCTTTCAGATGAGGATATATCTGTTGGGTGTACAGCTGAATGCACAGGTGTACAAGATGGCCACGCCGGAAATACGTCACCGCGCTACCCGACGCGTTACGTCACAATGTCATGTGACTTCATCAGTGTCAATCACAGTGACGTCACTCTTTATATACCCAGCTAGATAGAGGGAACACCCACATGGGAGGTGTTTTCTTCAACCTAATCTCATCAATACTTCCTGCGGCCATTACATTGAAGACCACTGGGGACTACTATGCAAAAAGTATATATGCTAATGGCTGCAGTAGGCGCATCTACACAGAAAAAGTCCGAGGACTGTGCAATGATGCACCAACTGCAATTAATATACCTAATATTTAAAAAATTAATATTTATTAATGAGAAAAAATATTTTATCATTTTATATATAAAAAAAAAAATTTTTATTTAAAATATTAATAAAGTATAAAATTTATTATATATATATATATTATAGCACCATCTCAATTAACCTCAAAAATCAGAAATAAAAGCAATTTAAAAATCAAACTCAATGTTCAAAACCATTGGGGAAATAAGTGTGCATACTATTGGGGAAATAAGATATATATATATATATATAATAAATTTATATACATTGATTATGTAAACTCATGCTTTTGGATAGAATATATGTGTGTGAGTTTTTTTGGAGTAGGTCTTTTATGAGCTGGTGAAGGGTTGGGACATTATTAATATTTTAAATAAAAATAAAAAATTTTTATATATAAAATGATAAAATATTAATTCTCATTAATAAATATTAATTTTTTAAATTATTTTACTCATTTTAAAACCTATATATAAATAACTTTTGATTAAACTGTGATTTGGATTGTATATATACGTATGCGTCCTTATGTGCAGGGGTATATATATATATTTCCGTGTAACTGTATAAAATTAATTAGCTGTATTTTTGGTATGTATAATTGGAGATTACATGCGATTATAGCGTGTAATTAGGTGAGAGATGGTCTATTTCATCCATTTTAATAATAATTTTAATATTTTTATATTCTTAGTCAATAAATAATATATTCTTTTGTTTTTTTAACATTCAATTAAAATGGGATTTTGTATAAGGTTATTTTGGTGTTTTTTTAAATATTAGGTACATTAATTGCAGTTGGTGCATCATTGCACAGTCCTCGGACTTTTTCTGTGTAGATGCACCTACTGCAGCCATTAGCATATATACTTTTTGCATAGTAGTCCCCAGTGGTCTTCAATGTAATGGCCGCAGGAAGTATTGATGAGATTAGGTTGAAGAAAACACCTCCCATGTGGGTGGTTCCCTCTATCTAGCTGGGTATATAAAGAGTGACCGTCACTGTGATTGACAGCCCTGATGAAGTCACATGACATTGTGATGTAACGCGTCGGCGTAGCGCGGTGACGTATTTCCGGCGTGGCGGCCATTTTGGTACACCTGTGCATTCAGCTGTACACCCAACAGATATATCCTCATCTGAAAGCATGAGGCTTTAGTGTGGACTGGCTGCTACGTAAAGTTCTTATTTAAAATATGCTACATGTTCCTATGGTATAATAAATATACTACACTATGGGAGGATTCCTTTGTCTCATTCTGAGAGATTGATATTACAACTTTTCCTGGAGAAGAGCCATAGTGGGAATATTACATCTTGAAAGCTGTCTTGGAGTGCTTTGGTGCCTGGAGGATCTGTGAGAGGGATCCACTACTGCTCTTTGATCCGCAAGGGTCGAAGGGATGAGGTGAGAGGCTAATCCAGAAGGTGGTTGGATTCGTAGATCTATATACACCCAGAAACCTGCACGATTTTTTCACACTTGTGGTCACTAACAGTATAATTTGGAAGCACCGTTTACTGTTTTGTTCACCTACAATATTTTATATTTTTTGGACTTTGAGATATTAGTTTGCGTGTACCATTATTATGGTTATTTTTTCACTTCACAATAGGCACGTGTGATTTAATTATATGTATGTGTATATTTTTTGTTCATGCACATACATATAGATATAGTTTTTTGTGTTTCTACATCCTTTGAGTGATTTATTTGATTTTTTGTTATTATCAGCAAGCACGTATAGATTTGCATTGTCAATATTGTTAATATTGTCACACTTTTTGATTTGATATCTTGGGATCCCACATTCACAATTTGTTTGATTTGAATGTAGCGCAGCATTCCTTATGTTTTATAATTTTTAAAATGTGTTTTACTCCTCTTGGTACCTGACCCCATGGAAGTGCTCAGCTTTCCGTACCCTATATGTGACATTCCTTTACCTATTAGCTTTAAAAATGGCCAGAATTGATTTAAAAAATTGCCCCTTATTGACTTAATTGGAGTTTAGATTAAAGTTCACAATTTTCTGACTTTACCATGGACTTCCCTTTACTTTCTGTCTTAATGAAAGCAGTTATCAGGACAGGGTGGTCAATCTGCATATACGGACACAGACAAAAAAAAAAGACAGAGGGCCTAACCCCTAACCCAACTGTGGTGCAGAAGAGAAACATTTTGGCTTTACATGAACTTAATTTTATTCTTGTATTACTGATATCAGTACAGATACAGTCAAATATTTCTATCGATAATTGGGTAGTTTAGGAGCTCTTTCAGCAGTCTCAAAAGTTTTATACTTTTTTTTTTACCATTTTCCCAGTGGACTGGATACATGGCTATATCAATGGACAGAAAGTGTGCTTATTTGTAAGTGTTTGTGTGACATTTGATAAAGAAATGCTTGGTGTACTCTTTTGGCTCACTGACTTTGTGAGAGGAATAGAATAGCATTCATAACTTGATGGATATGAGTGGTAATTTGATGTGCACTTTACAGCTTAGTGTCTCTAGTATGCACATATACATATTATTAGTTGCAAGGCTTTTGATTGCAAGG